GACAAACATTTATATCCCCATTCAAAATATATCAAAAGTCTGCATTCTAAGGCATAAATGGAAAGATCTGGAAAAATAAATTTTTGCTATAGGGTGCATGAGCTTGCCAGAAAGACAGAGAGACAGAGAGACAGAAAGCTAGAAATCATCTCCCAGTGGGGATGGCCACTCCACAATCCTTCTCCTCCATTCTCCTCTTGGGATCTTGGGCACGCACACACATGCACCTGGCGTGAATTTAAGCCACTGGGTCCAGGACTCGAACTGTGGTGGACTACATGGAAATCCAGCAACATAGCCATTACACCAACTGTTGGTCCCACCAAAGACTGATCTTAACACAAATTATTTACTAACTGTAGAATCTTGGCACATCAGTCAACTGCTCTGAGTTTCATGTTCTCATCTGTGAAATGAGACTGTCTGCTGCCTACTTACCAGGGTTGTTGTGAGGGTCAAATGAGAATGTATGTGAAACTTCTGTACATGATAAAGCAAAAAAAAAAAAAAAAGAAAAGAAAAAAAAAGGTATGATGAGATATTACTTAACTTCAACCAGATAAAAAATAAATAAAAATAAACAAGAAACTACAAGTTCTAGTGAGGCTGTGGTGAAAAGGGAACCCTTTTACACTGCTGTTGGGAATGTAAATTAATATAGTCACTGTGGAAAATAATACAGAATTTCCTCAAAAATATACAAATAGTACTACTATTTAACCCCCAAATCCCACTCCTTGGCATTTACTCAAATTATAGGAAAACATTCAGTTGGAAAGATATTTGCACATCAATATTTATTCACAACTGCTAAGGGAGGGAATTAACTTCAATGATCAATAAATGATAAATGGATCAAAAAATTGTGGTATAGATACACTTTGGAATACTGCTAAGCCACAGGGAACAATGAGACCCTATCACTTGATTCAAAGTGGATGAATATAGATAGTGAATTTAATGCTAAATGAAGTAAGCCAGACCATGAAAGACAAACATTTATATCCCCATTCAAAATATATCAAAAGTCTGCATTCTAAGGCATAAATGGAAAGATCTGGAAAAATAAAATAGCAGGGAGTATAAGTATAGATTCCAGAGACAGTAGAGAAAGAGGGTGGGTAGTACAGCATGGGTAAAAAGGACTCAGGGAGGAAACACTTAACAGTCACAAGGATGTAAAATTCTCTGTTGAATGGGGCCAGCAGGTATCATAGTGGTTAAGGCAATGGACTCCCACATGGTTGACCATGGTTTGAGTCCGGGATCCAGCAGTTTGAAACTCACATCAGGCACATGTACATGCGTGCCTAAAATTCCAAGAGGAAAATGGCAGACAAGGGATTGTAACATGGCCATGCTTCCTGGGGAGGGGGGTGATTTCTCAGTTTCTCTCTCTGTCTTTCCAGTGAGTACATGTGCCCTATGACAAAAATCTCTCAAAAATAGTAACATCCCTGATTAGATTGTCACATATTGCATGTATACTTTGAAAAACCATATTGTGTGCTACAGACAAGTATAATAATAGAATGAAAATAAGAAGTAATAAAATTTTTAAAAGGTAGGCAATCAGGTGATTCAATTTTACAGAAAGCATAGTTTTAAATTATTAAGAAATTTTCAAAAAATTTTAGGAAGAAAAATTAAGGAAAGGAAATTTAAGGAATAAAAGGAAAAATTTCAAGAAAATGACACCTGTCTACTAAGGTCCAAAATATGCTAACTTCTCTTTTATATTGCTAGTTTCTGTAGAATGATCGAAATATACAAAGAACTTTACTAATGGTTTTCCAATAAATTGAGTACTGAATTATATGAATATCAACAAAATGGGTAAAAGTTTATTTTCATTCTTTTTCTATAGTGATGAAAAGAAGAAAACCATGAGAAAAGAGAAGAAAATAAACACAGTTAAGCCAGAGATATTATGGGAGAACTGAAAGAAACCAGCAGCCCTGGGCATCTCTGAAATGCTCTTGACAGGGCCTCCTATACTTACTGAGTTCTATAAAACAGACTCCAAAATAACAGATTAATTTGTTATCTGAAGAGCACTCCCTATTGGAAAACCAAATATGCTTGGAGACTCAGTCCTCAGAGACTTAAAGGAACACCAGACCTGGAAGTACCTTCCTCATGAGAGATTCACTAAGCAGAGAAAGGCAAAAGTAAGCAAATCATCAAATGTGATCTACCTTTATTACTGGTTATTTCTCTGAATAGAAAGACACTACTGAGATAATATCTCCTGGAAAACACTGAAAGAATCCCCTAAGGTGAAATGAACCAAGAACTCTCAGCTGCAACAGGTTATCAATGTATGATTATCAATGTATCAATTTCTAATATATATTCTTGAATACAGGCAGAATTTGGACATCCATATCTATTTAAGTGTACCTTTGAGTGTTTATATTTTTATGTAAAATGTGTTTTGAATGTCACTGTTACCCATAATGATATTTGTGTATGTATACAATACATGATTCATTTGTGACCTTAGATGAGTCTACATCTGAGGCTATTCTGTGCTTGTGTTTAGATGTACAACATATGAATTTATGGAGTTTACATGTATGGTTTGGGGTTTTGCATATGCATTAGATGAAGTTTTAAGGGACTGTAAGGTTGCAGAAATAAGCAGTTGAGGAAATCAGTTGTTATCTCCTTCCAGACCATTTAAAAAAACTATCTCATGCCCTACGCTTTCTGTAAAATTGAATCACCTGATTGCCTACGAATCTTGAAAAAGATGACCTCTCAAATCCTTTCCCTCCTTGGGAACTATAAAATTAATCTCATGGTAAAAATGGAAAAAAGGTTGGATGGATTTGATAGCTAAAGAAAGAACTGAAAGAAGGAAGAGAGAAGAAAATGAAAATTGAGTTAGAGAGGGGGCAGAGGAGAGGAAGAAGAGAGGAAAAGAGGGGTAAAAAAAAAAGCATAAAGATTCAGGAGGAAGAGCATGAGAAATTCTCTTAGTTTGGAATGGGATGTTTCATGTCCTGAAGCTAAAATAAATTCTGCCTTTGAGCAGGAAAGCATATCTGGAAGGAAATACTGTCCCCAGCCCTGTGGGAAAGATGAGAAAGGGAGAAAAGGATGAAAAGGGGCCTAGAATGATCAAAACCTTCAACCCAGGAGAAACTGAAAGCAGGATTCAATGTATTCTGAAAGGTTGGCATGACTAGGAAGAGTCCAAGTGAGGGAATAGCCCTGAGGGAAAAATAATGGCCAGGATTCCAACAATAAGCTAGGGTGGGGTATGAATGCAAAACTGGACCGAGAGGAGTTCCAATACTTTGGTAGATGCAAAAAGAGGTAATCTTTGCCCATTTCACCATTCCTTAGTGGCGATCTCCTGAATATCAACAAAATGGGTAAAAGTTTATTTTCATTCTTTTTCTATAGTGATGAAAAGAAGAAAACCATGAGAAAAGAGAAGAAAATAAACACAGTTAAGCCAGAGATATTATGGGAGAACTGAAAGAAACCAGCATCCCTGGGCATCTCTGAAATGCTCTTGACAGGGCCTCCTATACTTACTGAGTTCTATAAAACAGACTCCAAAATAACAGATTAATTTGTTATCTGAAGAGCACTCCCTATTGGAAAACCAAATATGCTTGGAGACTCAGTCCTCAGAGACTTAAAGGAACACCAGACCTGGAAGTACCTTCCTCATGAGAGATTCACTAAGCAGAGAAAGGCAAAAGTAAGCAAATCATCAAATGTGATCTACCTTTATTACTGGTTATTTCTCTGAATAGAAAGACACTACTGAGATAATATCTCCTGGAAAACACTGAAAGAATCCCCTAAGGTGAAATGAACCAAGAACTCTCAGCTGCAACAGGTTATCAATGTATGATTATCAATGTATCAATTTCTAATATATATTCTTGAATACAGGCAGAATTTGGACATCCATATCTATTTAAGTGTACCTTTGAGTGTTTATATTTTTATGTAAAATGTGTTTTGAATGTCACTGTTACCCATAATGATATTTGTGTATGTATACAATACATGATTCATTTGTGACCTTAGATGAGTCTACATCTGAGGCTATTCTGTGCTTGTGTTTAGATGTACAACATATGAATTTATGGAGTTTACATGTATGGTTTGGGGTTTTGCATATGCATTAGATGAAGTTTTAAGGGACTGTAAGGTTGCAGAAATAAGCAGTTGAGGAAATCAGTTGTTATCTCCTTCCAGACCATTTAAAAAAACTATCTCATGCCCTACGCTTTCTGTAAAATTGAATCACCTGATTGCCTACGAATCTTGAAAAAGATGACCTCTCAAATCCTTTCCCTCCTTGGGAACTATAAAATTAATCTCATGGTAAAAATGGAAAAAAGGTTGGATGGATTTGATAGCTAAAGAAAGAACTGAAAGAAGGAAGAGAGAAGAAAATGAAAATTGAGTTAGAGAGGGGGCAGAGGAGAGGAAGAAGAGAGGAAAAGAGGGGTAAAAAAAAAAGCATAAAGATTCAGGAGGAAGAGCAAATTCTCTTTAAAAAAAAAAGCATAAAGATTCAGGAGGAAGAGCATGAGAAATTCTCTTAGTTTGGAATGGGATGTTTCATGTCCTGAAGCTAAAATAAATTCTGCCTTTGAGCAGGAAAGCATATCTGGAAGGAAATACTGTCCCCAGCCCTGTGGGAAAGATGAGAAAGGGAGAAAAGGATGAAAAGGGGCCTAGAATGATCAAAACCTTCAACCCAGGAGAAACTGAAAGCAGGATTCAATGTATTCTGAAAGGTTGGCATGACTAGGAAGAGTCCAAGTGAGGGAATAGCCCTGAGGGAAAAATAATGGCCAGGATTCCAACAATAAGCTAGGGTGGGGTATGAATTCAAAACTGGACCGAGAGGAGTTCCAATACTTTGGTAGATGCAAAAAGAGGTAATCTTTGCCCATTTCACCATTCCTTAGTGGCGATCTCCCCTTGCCATTTCTTTATTCCCAGGCATGGGGGACGCAAGCAGGATGAACACAAACACCTCTGTGGTGACTGAATTTGTCCTTGTCAGTTTCTCCCACCTGGCTGGCCTCCAGGGCGCGCTCTTCTCTCTCTTTCTCGCTGTCTACCTGCTCACCGTGGTCGGTAACCTCCTCATTGTGGTGCTCGTCTCCGCTGATGCCTCTCTTCAATCGCCCATGTACTTCTTCCTTCGAATCCTCTCAGCCCTGGAGATCTGCTACACGTCGGTCACAGTCCCGCTGCTGCTTCACCACCTCCTCACGGGTCAGCGTCACATCCCTCGCTCTGGTTGTGCGCTTCAGATGTTCTTCTTTCTCTTTTTTGGTGCCACGGAATGTTGCCTCTTAGCTGCCATGGCCTACGACCGCTACGCAGCCATCTGCCAGCCCCTTCGTTATTCTCTACTGCTGCGCCACCGGGTGTGTCTTCAGCTGGCAGGATCAGCCTGGGCTTGCGGGGCAATGGTCGGGCTGGGTCACACCATCTTCATCTTCTCCTTGCCCTTCTGTGGCCCCAATGCTATCCCACACTTCTTCTGTGAGATTCAGCCTGTCCTGCAGCTGGTGTGTGGAGACACTTCACTCAATGAGTTGCAGATTATTCTGGCTGCAGCTCTCATCATCCTCTGCCCCTTTGGCCTCATCCTGGGTTCCTACGGGCGTATCATGGCCACTATCTTTCGGATCCCCTCTGTAGCTGGGCGCCGCAAGGCCTTCTCCACCTGCTCCTCCCACCTGATTGTGGTCTCCCTCTTCTATGGCACTGCCATTTTTATCTATATTCGCCCTAAGGCCAGCTATGATCCAGCCACTGACCCTCTGCTGTCCCTCTTCTATGCTGTGGTCACCCCCATCCTCAATCCTATCATCTACAGCCTTCGGAACACTGATGTCAAGGCTGCCCTAAAGAGAACCATCCAGAAAATGGAGAAAATAGGACCTACAGAGATTTGAAAAGGGAATGATGATGACAAGTGCCACACAGTATTCCCAGGCAGCCCCAAATCATCGAAGATCAAAGGGACAGGAGGCATGAGCCACCTTAAGGAAGACTTGCCTGTCAAGGACAGAGGTTTACATTTTTTTTTTTTGAGAGGTTTTTGCTATAGGGTGCGTGCGCTGGCCAGAAAGACCTACCAGAAATCACCTACCAGGGGGAATGGCCATGCTGCACAATCCCTTCTCCTCCATTCTCCTCTCAGGATCTTGGGCACGCATGCACATGCACCCAGTGCGAGTTTAAGCTACTGGGTCCAGGACTCGAACTGCAGTCGGCTACATGGGAGTCCAGCGACATAGCCATTATGCTAACTGCTGGTTCTGAGGACAGAGGTTTACCTTTGAAGAGCTATTGGGGGACCAACAGAAGGCATAATGGTTATGTCCCTGGGCTCCCATGTAGTCAACCCCAGTTTGAGTTCCAACCATGTGGCTTAAAACTCGCACTGGGCACCAGTGTGTGTGTGTGTGTGTGTGTGTGTGTGTGTGTGTGTGTGTCCCACATCTCCATGTGTGTGTCCCAAATCCCAATAGGAGAATGGAGGATAAGGGATTGTGGCATGGCCATTCCCCCACGGGGTGATTTCTTGCTTTCTGTTTCTCTGTCTCTCCAGCAAGAATGTGTGCCCTATAGCAAAAATTTCTCTTTTAAAGAAAAGAAAGAAAAAGAGCTATTGGAACCAAGCACCCTCTTCACAACACCCATAACACACACACACACACACACACACACACACACACACACTCTATTCTCCCTTCTGTTACAAGAAACAAATCCAGGATGGAGAAGTGACTGTGATGGAGAAGTGGCAGAGCAAGTTGACAACTAGGGGAAAGCTTATAAAATATCATCTTTGTCAGACTGTCAAGGTAATAAAAATTTTAGCCATAGCAATACTCCTTAAAATCATTTGACATTTGTCTATCTTAGGAAAAGCACATGTTTCCCAGGTGGTACTTGTGGTTATTACACTATTATTATTATTATTATTACATTACACACTTCCAGCTAGTGAAAGCTATCACCAGGCAAAAAGCAAATTCCTTAAGTGAAGAAAGGCAGAAAAGATTCAATGAAGGTAAGTCTTTTTTTTTTTGGAAGAGGTTTTTGCTATAGGGCATGTGTGCTTGCCAGAAAGACAGAGAGACAGAAAGCGAGAAATCACTCCCCAGGGGGGATGGCCATGTTGCAATCCCTTCTCCTCCTTTCTCCTCTCAGGATCTTGGGTATGCATGCACATGTGCCCGGTGTGAGTTTTAAGCCACTGGGTCTGGGACGCAAACTGCGGTTGACTACATGGGAGTCCAGTGACATAGCCATTATACTAACTGCTGGTCCCCGATGAAGGTATGTTCTTATAGAAATCAGTAGGACACAGTGGTTAAAAGTGTAAATTTTGATGTCAGACAGACTTGAATTTAAGTTTTAATTCTTCTGTGTAATCACAGAAAATGATGTAATCTCTCTGAGTCTTAATAGGGATAACAATACTGTCTATTGGGGAGAGTTGTAAAAATTAATAGATTGTTAAATCACCAAACAATGTGTGTGGCACAAAATAGTGTCTTGATAAATGCTATATTAAGGTGGTAGACAGGTCAGCACAGAGAATAGCATCTGGTTAACATGTGCCCACCTTTATTGTGAGATACAAAGCTATTCTCGGATTGTCAGTTGGCACTGGGGCCCAAGAGATCGAAAATAAAGTGGAGTAAGAGAATCCATGCAATACTGCTAGGACATAAGCCAAAGACAACTAGGACATGGAAGAGCAAATAGAATGTTGATCAAGTGCAGGAGAGTAAAAGACCTGCAGAACAAATAAATGAGATAAACTGAGAGTTACAAAAAAAAAAAAAATCACAAACCTCTCCAAAGAGGCAAGTATTTACTAATAATTAAAAATCAAATCCACATACTTTTTATTATTCCCAATACTTTATTAAGTTTTATATTATTTAATTGAGGACTATGGTGATTGCCAAGTAAGTACAAAATGGTGATTTTGCCCAGATAGTACTTGTCTGGTTGAAGAGAAAACACTGAATCCCATAAAACTGTCAGAGAGTATACAAAGTAAAGAAATACCCAAAACACTAAAATGAAGACACATAGGTGGCTTCTCCCCTATCTCCCAGTCTCCAGAGGAGCAGTATGGCCTTTCTCACACTCATTTCACCAGAGAGAATTTTTGAAAACTACTGCTCTGGGCCAGGAGGTGATATCATGGTTAATGTGCTGGAATCCCGTATGTCTACCTCATCACCATGGCTGGCAACCTCCTTATTGTGGTGCTGGTCTCTGCTGATACCTCTCTCCAATTGCCCATGTACTTTTTCCTTTGAATCCTTTCACCCTGGAGATCAGCTATATGTCAGTCACAGTCCCAGACCTGGTGCCTTGCTTTCTTACTTTCTCTTTCTCTATCTCTTTCTGGTCAAATTAAAATAATAATAAACAAATGGAAATAAGTAAATGATTCACTAAAAAACCCTGCTCTTCAGTACTTCCAAAACTTCAGATGTCCTTCCCCAGACCCCACTCCTCCACACACACCACATCTGGCATTCACAAACATCTCTTGTGTTTGCACATCCTTTAGCCCATCAGTTTCAGTCATAGAGTGCGGACACTCTGTATATATTAAGTGGGGACATACAATGTCTCTCCTTCATAGCCTGGCTTGCTTCACTCAGCAGTAAATCTTCCATATTTGTTATCTGTTGAAGATATTTTGATCAACTGGACCAGGGAGAAATGTTCACATATCGAAATGTTCACTTTGTAAGGTAAATAATGCTATTGAATGTATAAGAAAAATGTAAATTAAAAAAATCTTCAGTTGAGAGGAACAAGAGACCAGTAGCAACAGCATCAAGTAAGAAGGGTGGCATAAAGGATTTGCTAAACAGCTTTTCCTTTGATTATCTGAGATTTTATCCCTAGCCTAAAACAGACCAGCAGAGAACTGAACATTTAAAATGCTCATTTTCCACCTCGTACTTAGAGCCACTTGCTCATGCTTCATAGAAATATTCTTGCTGAGGACCAGCAGTTGTCATAATTGCTATGTCACTGGACTCCCATGTAGTCAACCGCAGTTCGAGTCCCTGACCCGGTGGCTTAAACTCATGCTTGGTGTGTGTGCATGCGTGCCCAAGATCCAGAGAGGAGAATGGAGGAGAAGGGATTGTGACATGGCCATCCCACTGTCTCTCTGTCTTCCTGGAGAGCACACGCACCCTAGCAAAAACCTCTCAAGAAAAAAAAAAAAAAGAGAAACGTTTTCACAGAAGCATGCTTTGACATTCCGTCATTAATTTACATAGAAGATTACAAGAAGCAATACTAAAAAACTCACAGAGGAAAACTTTCTCTCACATCTCAGTAATTATATTTTCCTGTCATATAAGCAATAACTTTTTCCTCACAGTTTTATGTGGATATAATTGACATATAATGAATTACATATTTAAGGGTACAATTTGACAGATTTTGAGATATAAACACACATGGGGTGTGTGTGTATATATAGATAGATAGTGAAACCATCAGCACAATCATCAAGTAAACACATCTATCAACCCCAATGGTTTCATGTCTCATTGTAATTTCTCCCTTCTACCTCTTCCCACCTTCTTCATTCCCAAGCAACCTCTGATCCACTTTCCATAACTGTACATTACTTTTTCTAGATCTTTATATGAATGAAGTAATGAAATTCATATATACTTGTTGGTCTAACTTATTTCATTCAGCATAATTATTTTGATATCTGTCCATGTTGGTAAAGTCCATTCCTTTTCATTTCTGAGTAGTATTCTATTATATGGAAATAACACAATTTGTTTCTCCATTCATTTAGTGGTAAAAATTTTGGCTGTTTCCAGTTTGTGATTACTTACTACATAAAATTTCTATGAACATTGTGTATAAATCATTTATACTTTCATTCTCTTGGGTAAAGATATAGGTATGGAATGACTATGCCATACGGAAAGTGTATGTTTTACATTTTAAGAAACAAAGTAATTAATTTTCCTCTTTGTACCACAGATAGTGAGCTTACATTTGAAAAATTTTAAGAGGTTTTTGCCTTAGGGCATGTACACTCACTGGAGGGGGAGAGAGACAGAGTGAGAGGGAAAGTGAGAAATCACTCCCCAGGGGGGATAGCCATGATACAACCTCTTCTCCTCCATTCTTCTGGGATCTTGAGCATGCATGTACACATGCCAGGTGTGATTTTATTTATTTATTTATTTATTGGAGAGGTTTTTTTGCTATAGGGTGCATGTGCTTACCAGAAAGAGAGAGACAGAGAGACAGAAAGCAAGAAATCACCCCCCAGGGGATGGCCAAGCTGCAATATCTTTATTATACAAGAATTCTTTTGCATTATTAATTTTGATTTAGCGGTTGACTGGTTCTTTTGTGTTGTTACACATTTCATAGATGTGCTAAAATTTGTGTGTCAGATACGATTTTTGTGGGTTTTTTTAGACAGGTTTTTGCTATGTGGCACATGTGCTCACCAGAAAGACAGAGACAGACAGAAAGCGAGAAATCACCCCCCAGGGAGAATGGCCATGCTGTAGTCCTTTCTCCATTCTCCCCTTAGGATTTTGGGCACAAACACACATGCAGCCGGCATGAGATTAAACCACTGGATTCAGGATTCAAACCACGGTTGACTACACAGGAGTCCAGAGACATAGCCATTATGCCAACTGCTGGTCCCAGGTAGGATGTCTTCAAGGCATGTAACTTTTGTTATAACAGGCCCCCAAATTAAACTTGAGTCCTTGAAACAAAATTTGTGGATGTGACATAGATATTATAGTTATCGTGGGACTAACAGATGGAGCAGTGGTTGAAGCACTGTAGTCCCACATGGCTGACCACAATTTGAGTCCCAGACTTGGCTTGGTTTTTTGATTTCCTTTTCTCTCTC